GTATCGTTTTCCATGCAGAATATTTAGAATTAAGCGTACAAGACTTTGAAACAGTCTGCTTTGTTATGCTCATAAACTGAAGATGATTGAAATTTCACAAATAGTATTGTCTGAGCCTCTAATTACCAGGGAGCCCAAGGCCTAGCTCATTGGAACATAAACCTGCTTCTGGCATTCATCATGCAATTTTCAAATATATAAACATATGATCTGAACCTAATCTTTGTACAAGTAGTCACACCTATCTTAGAGTGCTCTGCGATTGCGATAAAATTAGCAGCACTTACCACTACGAATTGTACAAAATACTTTTTGCATAATACACAGATTCAACAAACCTTCAGTTTTCCTATTTACTAAACTGCAGAACTTGGGTAACTTGGTGATAGTCTAATATTTCTACATGCATGCCTCTTGTCTTCTGTTCTGCATGCACTTCAGTGTGTTTATTGATGATAATCCATTGCCGGTCAGCCAGTACAGTGTCCACGTTCATATGGTGGTTTGGGCATGTGTTGTGGAAGGCTTGCACATTTGTATGGTAAAACTGTTGAGAAGTTCCACATGTGTGCTCTTCCTGACCATCTCACTGTACTTGGATATTCTTTTTCCTTGAAAAAAAATCCTAAATAACAATGTTTGAACAACAAGAAACAGACTTTTGTGAAGCACTTTTTCTAAGTATAGTTAAATAAAAAAACTAGGTAAGATTAGAACCCACTGACTTCCTTCTGTAGGCAAGCATTTAAACATGCAGTATAAATTCTCTATGGTTGGGTTAGTATGGGGAAATGAATGGCCACATGAGAGGAAGTACGTAAGTGTAGATCCGAACTTTAGGAAGTGAATGAACTTCCTGACAAATAATCTGCTGGTCTTTTAGCAGAGCAGCAGTGACTAGTAAAGTTCTGACCTCTCTTGCTATCCGCTTTCTTCTGAAAGAGAGGGCATTTCTTCAGTTTTCATTTGTCTGGTTTTCTGGGTATCGTAGTGGGTGCGTCTACACAAAAAACCAATGCTATTTAGTTAGTGTGCATTAAAATAGGCTAATGCACATTAAGCATCACTTAAAACTCCTGGGATCCTATACATGTAGAGGGAGGCTGCTCCAACATGCTAGAATTCCAGCACGTTGGAGCAGACTTAATCAATCGAGTATGCTGGAGCGTGGTAATTACTGCGCTCCAACAGACTCCAGAGTCACATTGTATCAGCGTTCCTGCACTGAAAAATGGCAGCAGGGCACTTTAAACTTACGCTCATTCAACAAGCTTTAGGTCAAAGTGCCCCGCTGCCATTTTTCAGCATGGGGATGCTGATGCATGCGACACTCTGGGTGCTTTTAATTAGTGTGGCTCTCAGAGCTGTGCTAATTAAAGTGGCCTCCCTCCCCCAGCCCGCACATGTAGAAATGCCCCGTGCTCTTCAGTTAATGCGCATTAAGGATAGACTACCGCACATTTTGCTAGTACTTCATAATAGAAGTACTAGACTTAATGTGCATTAACTGAAGTGTGCTAATGCACATGTAGACATGCCTAGTTCCTTCCTTGGCTTGTCTAAGTCTATTCCAACCATGTAGTTGGTCCAGTAAAAGGTATCACCCAAAAAAATCCTTTTTGCATATTTTGTGGAGCATCATGACTACAAAATCACTACCTATCTGCTTGCCTATCAAAACTAATTGATCATTATAGCAGGTTATATATGACAGAGCCAGTTATGGGTTTAAGTAATAAGAGTAATTATCATTTGTGTTGTAAACTATTATAAATCAACATATTTAACTATTTTGTACACTGATTCCTGAGGATGCTTGTTTTATAGGATAAGCAGGTGGGAAATTCAAACTTGAGAGGAACAGAGAGATTAGTAAATTATTTGTTCAAAATGCCTTGGATTGTAAATTGTTATAATTTATTTGTACTGAATATTTATTTGGGTCTACTAGTAGCAAAGAGATCTGAATTTAAAATGGATTTGTAAAGGGCTTTTGCACTTTACAAACATGATTCCTGCTGGTCAGTAATTGGAGAGATTTTACTTTTGACTTAGTAAAGTTTAGTGTGATGTGTGAGCAGCTTATGAGTAGCAGATATGAGCACTATGGGACTGACACAGAAATGAGGGGGCTGGAATTGAAGTGTAAAAGAGAGGCAAATAGGTACAATCTACTCTCCCCTTGCTTGCTAATCATTTGTTGCCTCATTTTGATGTAAAAGCCAAATGGCTGGGAAGACGTAGCATACTCTTTAGAGCTTCTCCTGAACTGTCATGTTAGTGTATCTGTATTTTTGGTGAAAAAAGTCCTTGTTTGAATACTTGTCAAGAAAATGTACAAATCTCTGACTGAAGTAAAACAAAAATGTTTTCAAAAAAATGCATGGCTTTGGATTAGAGCAGAAAGTGCAAACAAACTAAGTTGTGCTGTTTTCCCTCCCCCCTTTTAACAGTGTTTTTAAGTACAATGTTTGCAAATTTGATGTTCACATAAAAGGTAACCCCAGGAATGCACTCATGAATGGTAGTAACACACTTAAAGCATCATTCTTGCCTCTCATATTACAGTCTGTAGCTTAATTGAAGTATCTTATAACTATGGCAATCTGGTCCAGAAGCATATCCTGTAATTGAAACCCAGTATGAACTTAGTATGTTTGAAATCTCACCTTCAATTAAGATGTTAGCCCCAAAATCCTTTCTGTCTACCTATGGTGAGAGGGTGGAGAAAAGAAGTTGTTATAGTGTTCAAGTTGTAACAGTTTTTTGATAGTTGCCTGGTTGACTACTTTCAGTATAAAAAGAAGGCTTTGCAGTGCCTAAACCATGAAAGATTGTATGAATCAATTCTCTTTTTCTTACCCATGTACTATATGTCAAGTACCTATCAAGTAAATTTAGCCTCTGTGAAGTGTGGTTTGGTTTCTGAAGTCCTTGCTTTTATTGCAGTATGTAATATTGGGCTGAGTCTTATAATCAGTAGGAAGCCTATTGCAAGAATTTGATACTAACCTTCAAAAAATTACTTTCTAGCCCCCAAATAAGTGTGTTAACAGGGTAGGTATGAGTATACATGTAAAATGTCTGAAGATTTAGAAGTATTAACTTCCTCTGCATTGCTTTCCTTCCATTCCTGACGACACACATCTTTACTGAGCTGCAAAGAACGGTGCTACAAACTTCAAAACACAGCAGCAGCAAATTCTGGAACTTCATCTTGAGATTACAAGGCTCAAGACCCTCAGGAAGGAAAGGGCAGGACTGGGAGACCAGGCAGAATAGAAGTGAGACAGGACAGCAAGGGGAGAAGGCTTTGACCCTCTGTGCACCTCCGTACATGGCAGTTCCCAGCTGCATTTTTGACACTTCCACATTCTGTTACCCCTGCACTGGGGATACGTAAGCCTGCACTCAACAAGCATATACACACCAGCCAGGCAGGTTATCCACTATGGGTATGGGTACCTGAGTGTAAGCCCTGAAGAAAAACCATACTGGGGATGGAGTGGGTTTCTTCAGTTAATTAAGAAATAGCTGATGAGGTAAGAAACAAAGCATGCGAGTCAGGGAAGGAAGAGTAGAGTGGTTTAAAGAGAGACCCCCTCCTGTGTCCCCATGGTGGGCGATGAGGTTGCACGGCTGTCGGACTAACTGAAGGCTGATGGGAAAGATGCGACGTCCTGCCACTTCTTAGCATTGGGGTTGGGCAGTGGTTCTGAGCTGCTTGCCAGGGAATCTCCTTTGGATCTCATTCTCCAAAGGAAAAGTGTTTTTCTCTACGTCTGGGTCATCTGTTTTAAAATATTAATTTCATCACCCCAACATCTCGTTGGTTAAGACATTTATTGTGTGAGAGCCCTTCTAGACTTCATTTAACTTCTCAGTAGAAAGGAGCTGGCTTTCAATAATTTATTTTAGACCTCATATTGATGTTGAATATGAGCACAAAATTAAGATTAGACTGATGAATTATTTAAAAATCTGTTAAGTTTAAACACTAATATTTTTGTGAGGGTTTGTTAATAAAGACTTCATAAATCATATTCTTTTATAATTTTGATAAGACACAGGAATGGTAATATCTGAAAATGAAGTATTGAGTGAAGATCCCACCTCTGCACTGTAACAAAGAAATCAGAAGATTCTTAGAGAAATGTATTAGATGTAGAGAAGAATGAGTCTGGCTCATTCACAATCTCTAGAATTTACCAGAAAAACCTAATAACTTTGCTGCACAAGCCTCTCAAAATATGTGGTCTTGTATGGAATATTTTTGTAACATGTTTCTAGAGGAGAGGGAAAAGTAAAGAAGTTCCAAGAATGCCTTTCTGGAAAGCGGTTGGTTTAATAGGGCAGTGTAACAGGTGCAGAAGGATGTTCCCCTATGACAGGAAGTAAAATAATTAGTCCTATACTCTGCTGATTTAAACAAATCTCTGAAATTAAGCTGTAAGTGATCGAGTGGTATTCAGGTTTAGAAGATCTCAGTTGCTTCACCAAAAACAGACAGAAGATGCAGGCAGCTAAAACTGTACCTGTATCCCCATGGTGTCGTCTTTGCATTTTTCCCATGTGCTCCTTTCTTGTAAACAGACAGGAGAATGAAGTGTCGATGCAGGTATCACTAAAGTCCATCCTGGTAAACTAAATAATTTTAAGCAGTGATCACTCCGTTGTATATTAATGTTGGTGTGCATATTTCAATTGCAGACGATGAGGAGAGAGAACTTCAAATGGAGCTTGCGGACTATGGAAAGCCACGCTTTCAGTGATGCGCTTTGAATGCTGAATTTTAACTTCATCTAAGGAAAGAGAAGAACTGAAGTGCTGTAAAACTGAACTCTTTTTTGCTTCAGTGTTTCTTAACTTACAAGAAGCTGGTAATAAACAGTGGTGATAGATTACTTAAAATAAGTATACTTGATATTAGTGAAGTAATGGAAGGAGAAATAGAATTCTGTATATACATGTACATAGTTGTACTATTGCAAATTGTATTATCTAAACCACATTTCTGTTAAAAAGTGAGCCAGTTAAACGTAGACTGTTCCTTACCTGTAATCTTTGCATTTAAAACCACAAATTCAGACTGAAGTGTTTCTGCAAATTAGGGAAACTTTGTAAACTGGGGAATTTGTACAGTTTGTATCTTACATATGTAATGAATCCATTATGGAAACAATTGTACAGCTGAAGGACTCCTTTTCTACAGTAATACCTGTATGAGCAAAAATACCTTCTCTGTTTGTTCATGAGTGCTGTGTTTTGTATTTTGCAGGTAAGCTTTCAGTTGAGGTTGAGAATTGAATGAAAACGTGTAAAAAAAACAAAACAAAAAAAAAAAACACCAAATCTTGGTGTTACACCTTCCTTAATGTAACTACGGAAAGATACGAGTGACAGTGAAACATTATATTAATTCTGAAATGTCAGAACAATTCAATTCTAGCACACGGAGACCAAAGCTCATATTCAGAGCTGGAAGTCAGTGCTATTAGAAGAGTAATAATTTGATGTGTTCTGGAAGAGGTATAGGTAGCTGATTTCACAAAGTAAATTAAAAACTGAATCAGTATTTTAAAACTTGTAACAGAGCAGTGGGAAACTTATTTGCCTACACTTTAAAGGGTGCAAGTGTTTCTTCAGTTAGAAGTAAAGAGAAGTATGCAGCAGCTTTGTTACAGAGACCACATTAGAAATAACTTAAGCAGAGTACAGCCTTTGCAGTCACTGAATATAATGTACAAACCCTCCAATTCATGAACACTGATGTCTCAGTTCTTTGCGTTACTTTACAGTTGAATATTTTGATATAGATCTCTGCAAACATTTGGCATGTTCCACATTATTGCTTAGAAGAGTTTGTAAGTTAGATACTTTTTTTATTCTAGGTTTAAGACGCTTTCTAAATTTTACAGAAATAGTTCTGTTCATCTGCGGTAAGCAGAAATCTAAGGTTAATAACCCTCCCTGCTTCTCAAAAGGGCTACTGTGAATAGAATTTATAGGGCCTATGACAGGGCTGATTGTACTTTACTATCTCTGTACTCAGGTTCAAGTTTAAAACTACATTATTACACTTACAGTCCATTGCAGTCATTCAGTAAACCTTTTTAATAAATTTGAAAGGCGATACCAATTTTGACTAGAAAGATCTTCCAATAACAACTCTTAAACATACAGTTTCTCTGTGAAATGAAAAATGAGAAGATTCTGCTTATGCACCTTTAAGTGTTCTGTTTTGTTTTTTAAGACTTGAACTTTGTATACATAAACCAGGACCATTTATGACACCGTAAAAAAAAAAAAAAACCTTTGCATGATGTGACCAAATGTAGTTTAACTGGAAAATCAAATGCTGATCCTGCTCAGAATGAGATGACATATTAACAGTGGGGTGGACAAAATGCAGCCTGGGGGCTGGATGTGGTCTGCGGGGCCCCTAAAGATTTTAGAAAATTGATATTAATTTACCCTGGGCTGCCTGTCATGCAGCCCTCGACGGCTTGCCCAAACTCAGTAAGCGGCCCTCTGCCCAAAATAATTGCCGCCCCTATATTAACACCACAAAGTAATATACAACAATTTCAAAATTCTAAAATTTAGAAATTTTCAGTAGATAATACTGTATTTGTGCAGTACAAAGTTTTATTTCAATCTTAAGAAACTTTTAAAATGCAGTTTCACCCCAAATTAGATGTTAACTTGAAGTTTATCCTACTGAAACCAACACTTAATGGGTTCTAATAAAATTGTTTTAAGATCTGTTTGTTGTTGCTGGCTCTGTTTTGGGTCCTCATTTGTTTTTTTTACTTTAGGCAAACCATATGTTTATCTGAGGTCATTCTTTTTACCTTGACTTCTGTAGATTTTTTTTTTTCTGGGTTAAATTAAGGTTTGGTTTTTGTTTTTGTTTTAAATCAAGAATCAGTAACAATCAAGAACAATGCTGAAGTGCTGTGAAAACTGCTTTGTGTGAGCCAACTATTGTGGTTGTATTTTTGGGATCAGGCCACAAGATACATTTTCACTTGTGAAAGATGGACCACTGCAGGACTCGGCTTGCTTCTGGGTTGGCTGTAAAGGGAAATTACTGCGTTTAAGTGCTGAGTGCTGGAGAGAAGTATGCACACGTTTCTTATAGGCTGTAGAAAGAGTAAGTCGGGTGGTAAACAAATTGGTCATTCTGCAGTAGCTATGAGAATAATCCAGGTGTATTTGTTATAGCCTGGTCTCAAAAATATCAATTCAGAATAACTTTACCAACAAATCTGTTACTTCTGTGGTGGAAAAGTTCTGTATTTATTTTACTTACTGTGTGTAGATCGTGCTTAACTGTCATTATATACTGTAATGCTTTCCAAAATATTTTTTTTACAGATGCATTTGACTCCTGGGTTTCAGACCTTGTGGACTTTATTGTAGGCTGCCTTGAGCCTTCTTCAGATATGGTGGCATATAAATCCAAACAAACAGGTTTTGTGGTACATGTGGTTCCATGCAAGTCAAGAATGTTGTCACCACAGCTGTCTCCTAACCAGCATATGGGCATCTTGGGTTCTTTGCCTATTTCATGGTTTCTTAAAACTATTGTTTATGTAAGTTTAGATTTTAAAAAATGCTAATTTTTTTCTTCAAAAGCAGAACATTCTGCTACGCACTGATACCATTTTGCTATGTGCCAGTGTCACTTCTGTTGTAACGTCCCAATATCCTGTTTGGAATAAATCTCTTAATAGGTGTGTTATCATTCTGAGTAGCTTCTGTCTATCATTTTTAGACCATGTTAAAATCACTGAAGTGGATAATTCACATTGCACTGTTGGTGTCCTTATAATTCAGTGATAACGTTCTTGCTATGAATTGTATGACAGTTATAGGCATTATCAAACTCTGCTTATTGCATAAAATTTTCCCCATGGTTTTTGTGTGCAACATCTGCTGTGTAAATAGCACCCTGTTCAAATTTGCTGATGACACTAAG